TTTTTCTAATAATCATAATATTTGTAAATAAATTTTTATAGCTTATTTTGTAAATATAAAAATGTAAAATTTTTTTCCATTCATATATTTTCTCAAATTTACTTGTGTTGCTTATCAACTTTRACTAATTTTATTGTAAATGTAAATAAATTTAAAGGCTTGCATTCAAAACAAGKAAAATACTCACTTTGACTATTTTTTCACTTTCCAATGCTTGGTTTGGCAATTTGAGTATGTCGGCACCAATGGATGTCTCCTCGTTGGGAGCACTCGCTGTGCTCTTAACGTAAACATTGCTTTTGGCATAGCGGCGAACRAGTATATTGCCAGCGTCATCCATTTTGATTTTGACACCCTGTGAAAGAAAAGAGGGGGAAAGTTTAAGAAATAAAATTAAAAAAAATAATAATAAAACAAGAATATTTTTATTTATCAAATTTTTTTTTAATTCCATATTTGCGAATGAAGAATTAGAATAAATTAATTGAAGCATTAAAAAGGAAACAAAAACGTTGCTGCTCAACGAAATTCAATTTAATCAAATAATTTATAATTCCTTTTTGCTATGAACCTGAGCTCAATATATTATTTTGGTTAACTTAAACTTGAAATCAACGAGCAATTACTTATCGCAACACCCTCTACAATTCGCAAGCCCCAAATAGTCACAAGTCACAATTAACAAACGTAAATGGACGCAAACGCACGCAAGGCGTAATAAGAATCGGCGCAACCGCCGGCCATGTTCACAACAATRGTGCGTTAATTCTAATTTGCGATTGCTGGCCATTCATTTCTTCAAATCACCCACAAACACATACATTCATTACAWATGTAAACAAATAGCGTTTTGTAACGAATTTACCGAAAATCATTTAGCCYATGGCCAATCAACAAATCTCTATTCTATGCTATGCTTTATCTATCAGCATTGWTCGCGTGTATTATCAGGTTAAGTGTGGCCAGCGCATTATGTGGACAATAATGGTTGGATAAATATAATATTAAAGTCACCGCAGAGATTTGCTTTAATGGACTTAACTTGTTCGCTGGAGTACATAATTGCGGCCAAATGTAATCGATTAATCGCACTCGCGGCGGTTTTTTGTTTTGATTTTCTAATATTTTTCTTTGTTTTCTCTATATTCTCTTACATGATCAGGCATGAGTTCGATTCTTGTGAGTCATGCGCACTTTTTTCAAGCACATTCTCAACAACAAAAAGAAAAATATTTTTTATTTTCTCAATTTATTTTCTAACTACCCTTTGATTGATGTTCTTTTGTGGTAGCACAATTGTGCTCATTAATTTCTGCCAACTGYTTTGACCTAAAGACATTTTTTACTCTACGATTGCTGGTTGCTTGCTGTATTTGTTTTTGTTACGGTAAAGTAAAGTGTTGCCGTGTAGATTTAGAGGTGTATTGCAATATTAGTCAACTACATCAACTACAAAATATATAGAAGCAGAATGTTTCCTGATTTTGTAAGAGGTAATGAATTGCCTGAAAACGGCTTGGTGGTAAAATCGCTCGACCACAATGTAATTGCATTTTGTAAAATTTAAATATTGTTATAAAAGAAATAAACACTAATATAAAATTAAATATTATTATGAAAGAAATACACACCAAACCATATGCATTTTCAGGTACAAGTTCTTTCGGGAATGCTGATAGACTTTTAAAAATTGCAACTCAATGAAATTTTTGAGAAAAACGATTTCCTACAATAAGCATATTAAGTAAAAGAAATTTAAAAGGGATTGCTGCTGAAAATATATTTGAGAAAGGTCAAATAATAATGTAAAAGTTTCACAAATACTAAAATATAAGAATATAAGCAGTTTTGCCAGCTTTTAAGTATTTSAAATCAATGAAATTGTTCGCAAAATTATTACAAAATAGACATCAAATAGAAAAGGTTTAAGAGAGCTTGCTTGGCTTATTTCCATCAATATATATGTGAGCAAGGTTGCCACCTACTTTTAGTAAAGTGAAATTTATAGTATGAAAAGATATTGTATTTAAGAATATTTGTAGCAGAGGAAATGTTTTTTGAACATTTTTAATCAAGAGAAGTTAATTCATTTTATAGTTTTCTAAGGAGGCTGCCAGATTTAATCTTTTTTATGGAATTAATCACATAAATAAAAAATTRTGGACATCAAAGCAAACATATTCCGCATATATGTATATATTTGTAAAAGATATTKTTGCAAGAGGTTGCCACCTGTTTGTAGAAAAATGTATATGGTAAACAAGTTATGACAATAAAGGTATTGAAGCAAAGAGTTTTACAATATTTGTGGCTAGGGAAATATTTTTAATCAAAAAAATTCAGTTTATAAATCTCTAAGGAGGGTTGCTATATTTTAAATTTTTTTGTGGAATTAATCAAATAAATGAAAATATTAACATCAAAGTAAATAGATTCCACAAATATTATATACACATATTTGTAGAATTTATTGTTACAAAAGTTTGCCACCCGTTTGACATTTTTACCTTAACTAATTATAAAGCTAAGTCAAGTACTGGTTGTTTTTATATTATAAATATATTTAAACTTTTCCCATAAAATATTAAGGTGTTCAGTTTGTTTTTCATAAATTTACTTTTAATTTATTTTATCAGTACAAAAGTGTCTCAATAGAAAAACGAAACAAGTAATATTTTTTTTATAATGATGATAAAAATTTAAATTCTTCTTTTAAAATTGTAATTCGAGTAGAGAAATTTCACAGCAACGGAAGAATAACAATTATGTTTATCATTCTAAGCATTACTCACCTGTCCGATGTGGCGCTTATATTCCTCTGTCTTTTGGTCGCGCATTGGATTATCGAAGCCGCATAAGCCGATACTGTAAATATAAAATAATAATGTATGCAATTAGTTATGATTGCCAATTAATTATCAAGTAGAAATATATTTATATTTTTATATATAGATTGTT